TTATGTGTGACGCGACATTCGCTAATTTTTCCAATCAATCTATACCATCCATCTCTAATATTTAATGCCGTTTAATATAAATGCAATCTTTCAATCCAAAAACTATAATTAAAACCATCGTTCCAGATGGATTCTGCATCTTCGACACGAGGTAGAAAGAGTCAGAATCAATTCACGAAATTTGAGAATGCTTCGTACAAAACCAGGCCATTAAATGACCAACATGTCTGTGACGCGACATTCGCTAATTTTTCCATCCAACTCTAATATTTAATGCCGTTCAATATAAATGCAATCTTTCAATCCCAAAACTATAATTAAAAACATCGTTCCAGATGGATTCTTTGATTCTTCGATAGAAAGAGTCAGGATCAATTCACGAATAACCATGCAACTCGCTGTTGATCCAATTCGTCCGATCGCTAGTTTCGACATTCACCTTCGCTCGAAATCACGGGGACAACAGGAGGAAAGTCGGCCCTGCGTTTAATTGACCGTAAAACTAGACTCTGAAACGTCTGCGCGCGCGAGGCGTAGCGCGAGGAAGGGGGGCGGTGCGGTGGGGAGGTGAACAAAAAACGATGAAAAAGTGAAATTTAATCAAGCGGTCACAGGCAGAGGGTACAACGTACCTTAACGCGGAGAGTGATCTAGCCAGGGCTGGTTCGAGCCTCGGCCTCGGCCTGTGCATGTACGCGTGTGTTACATCGTGCGTGCAACGATGCACCGCAGCGTGGTGCATCCGAGTACCGCGCGCGCCGAGGATGCACTCTCTCCGCGAACCACCATAAACGATTGCACGCGCGAAGGGGCCGCCTTGCCGTTCGTAAATCTGTCAGGAGCAGCATTTACGACGGCATTAATAAGCACCGGTAACTGATGTAATCTGTCAGAATTCGTCGAATCGCGTCCGGCTCATTCGCCGCGATACACACATACATACACATATATATACATACATATATATATATATATATATATATACACTCTCGCAGGCTTTTCCAGCCGCCTGCTAATGAAGGGTGAGAGAGCCGCGTATGAAAATTTCGCAAAATGTAGATACATACGTAAATACGTATTGCACCGGTTGCAAGCGAGGCTGAGCAAGAGCGATATCGAATTACCGCTGGTAAAATGATAACGAGCAAATTTGATTCGTTCGCTGTTCGCTCGCTACATTCGAGGACGTGGAAATTATTTTAGTAGTATATAATATTTTGATGAAGTATTTTTTTTTCTTCTTTTCTTTTTCTTTTTTTTTTTTTTGGTTTTCTGCGCTTT